GGTATGGTATGGCATAGTATTGTATGGTATGGTGTGGTGTGGTGTGGTGTGGTAAGGTGGGTGCACCCACTGCCTCTCACACAGTGATGGCTAAATATGGACACCAGTGACCCCCATGGCCCAGAAAGAAAGAAGCGGTTAAAAATTATGGATGGATGGATGATGTTTGTCTGTTTGTTAGTTGTTTAATTTTTTTGAAGTAGGTTTAATATTTGACACTGGATGTGATATGGTCTCATTCAGGTGGGACATTACCAAATGCTTTTATTGTGTCAAATGTGAAAGTTTATTCATACAAGCCTGGAGTTTTTAAAATTTAATAAAAGCTCTAAAAGAAGTTTCTACTTTAAAATATTACCATACTTGTTTCTTCTTCAGACGAATCCTTTGGTAATATCAGATCTACGGATGTCTGCTCCAGTGTGTGTCCATATGACGGCTGAACTGCTGCAAGATCACTACAAGGAAGTGGTGGAGGCAGATATTTTTGATCTTGTGTCTCTGAAGGTTCAGATCCATAAGTCGGAGTTGCAGGTGGTTGAGCTTCGTCTGTTACAGCTGAAGAAGATGGGGATTTTGAGTTTGGCTTTATGGAAGTCGTGGCTTCATAACTGGGTACGAGTGTGAGGACTGTAGGGGGGACAAGAGATGATATGCTCAAAACTTCTTGTTTGGCTGGAATTTGGTTAGATGTCATCCAGGGCTCGATGGATGAACTGTTTGTCATTTGCATTGGCAGCTGTGCAGGAGGAGTGTCAATGCTTTTTCTTTGGAAGTGCAAATCCATGCTTGTGCAGGCACAGCAATCAGCCACAGATTGTGGAGGATATTTGTGGATTGATACCTGTGCTTGGCTGTGGATGAGCAATGCTGAAACACAGACTAAGACATCAGTCAGTCCTGCAAAAGAAAATGAAGCCATGAAAGATTTGAGCCTGGACAAGAAAAACAAAGAATAACTTACACACATTAACTGGATCAAAGAAAAATACAGACACAAAAACAAAAAATCCTACAAAGTTATGCATAAAATCTCATCGCACATATTTTGATCTACTTTTTAACGACACGTAAACACAAAATCTCTCACCTAAACATCAAATGGTTCCATTTGCACACATCGGCCTCATTTGCATGCATATGATTATTCATCCTCTTGTGTCTTCTGTACCCATTAAACCAATTTGTGCCACAAAATCATCACTGGTGCACCATCAAGTAAAATACTCTGAAGGCTCCCACTTGCTGCAGTGAATCCTAAATCCAAAGCGTTCTGCTCCTTCGCTGTGAATCCATCATCTTTAGCTCGTTTCACCTCAGCTGCTCTCCTCATTCAACACCTAATTCTTCCATTCTGTCCCTCGCTTTAACCCTGTTACTTTTCATGATCTTTCTTCTCTGGTCAACGGAGGAGGCTGCAGCTGTTTGGTCAGTAACAGATATGTTGCCCTCGTTGTCTTTGGGAGTCTATGAAATATGCATAAGGGGTTATTGTGAGCTTGGGTCAGAGTTTAACAACAGGGGGTAATGTACACCATGACACAATGACTCACTCCCATTCAGGGACACAAGAGGAGCACAGGCTCACAAAAACTGAACTGTGCTTCACATCTTTCAAAGATATGTATCCAATAATCAGCTCTTGTTAGAGATCTGAATAATTATACAGTGTCTGTGTTTGGTTTATTCAGTTAATGTTTTGATCAGAGGGTGCAGGATGCTCGGAGTCATGGACCAGCTGGAGGATTACTCAGCAGTTTCCAGAAAAAAATATTTGAGATTGCGATGGAGTCATGATCACATGACATATAGGATGTCTGTGTTTCTACCCTACAGCACGGGACGACGTCATTCTTTCATAAAAATATAATGAGTTCCAAAACATAGGCAAAAATGAGCCTGTTTTTGAGGGGGGGGATGTGCATTTGTTTTATTAGTATGATTATGTTAAAACAAAATCACCAATTAAAAAAATACAATATGATGTTTTTAATAAATAAAATTATTTACAATTGTTTATAATGTCAAAAATGCATGTACATTTATACAATATGATCCCAAGCTAAATTAAAGTGAAATTTGTCTGTGAGCTTTATTAGCAAATTTATTAGTCTAACTTGGTCTCTTTTCAACAAGTCATCAAAATAAATAAATAAATAAGAACAACACTGTTAACCATGGGCAAAAAAAAATAAATAAATAAATAAACAAAACAAACAAAAAAAAAAGATGAAATCTTTATTGAAAGCGTTTTTTTCTTTGATTGGTTCTTGATTTTCAGAAGGTTTCCTTTGTGAAATGTGAGCACATGCAAACAGATAACAGGATCAAGTCTGTCAAGATCACAGAAAAATTCATTGTTTTTTTTTGGTAACCTGGGAAACGGTGATGTCACAACGAGTCTCATATCTGGGGTGTTGGAGTCTGAACGTTGAGGTGAGATCACCTGTTCTCACATATTCCCTTTACAGAATACATATACACCACACGAAGCAGGTACTCCCTTCTAAAAATATCATGTTTGTGTGTTTTTGTTACTTGTACTTGGTCCACAGATTGTTTTTTGTGCACATCATGATCTCTGTCTGTAGTTTCATCTTGTCTGATTCCTTTTCTCTCATCGTAAAATTTAAAAAAAAAAGCTTGCATCACTTTGACCTGTCATCCAGACTTTTGTCCCAGTTCTCCTCAGTATCAAACTAACTCCGAGTCCTTTATCTTTACTTCCCCCTCGATCTAAAACCACTTTTTATATTTTTGATTTTGACAGCTGACACCTCTCATTAGCCGGGCCTAGCAGTGCAGGATCTTGATGAAGGCTTTGCGAAATTCAATGTTGAAAGTGGTGTAGATGACGGGGTTGACAGCGCTGTTAAGATACCCGAGCCAGGTGACACCGCTGTACAGTGATGGAGAGATACAGCAGCTCCTGCAGTGCGCCTTCAGCACATGGGTCAGGAAGAACGGCAGCCAGCAGATAATAAACACACCTGGGAAACAAAGAGGACATGATCCTGTCAGCTCAGGAGGAACCAGAACTCTAAAGCTGTGCTTTTCAAAGTGGCGGCCGCGGCCCCCTGGGGGGCTGCCAGGAGGTGCTGGGAGGGCCTCAGAATGCTGGAGAGAATAAAAAAGCTAAAATAAAAAAATAGTACTAATAATAATAATAATTGCACACTAGGGCAATCTATATCTGTCATTTCCAGATAAACACGCTTGAGAAAGAGGTTCGATTTGTTCTTCTGGTCAACAGTTTGTTGAAAAGTTGTTGTTTTTTTCAGCGGGAATAAAATACAGTGTTTAAAACATGTTAGTTAATAGCATATTTATGCTCAGCAGTTGTAATAAGTAATTGAATATAGTGAATAAAAGTTACAACATTCTAAAAGTCGATGTTTCTTTACATATTTTGTAGCACTGTTTGTGGGTTTGCGAGGGGATCCTTGGCCAGAAGCTCATGCTGTTTGGGTGCATTGTCATGGAAACGTTTGGGAACCCCTGCTGTTAAGAACGTTGAATTTATTCCCTAATAAAACTGGACTTTTTACAGAGCAAAAGCAGTCTAATAGTGTACAAAGTGTAATTGCAAAAGCTTTCATTGAGTCTGTGTGTGTGTGTTTGACAGCAGCAACTGGCACAAAGTGTGCACGGATGACAGTAATAAAACATCTTCCAAATCTATGCATTTGTAATTTTCATAGAGGCGCAGAACTGCTGAAGCGACAGAAAGCTTCATCAGGTCTATTGGCAGCCATCCGGTTACAAATTATAAAACACATGAGGCTGAAGAAAAACAAAATGCATCAGACAAAAAGTCAAAGATAATTAATGGATGCGTTTAAGATTAATGGTAAAGATGTCATCCAAGGAAAATGTGCATGAAATGTGACTGAATCCAGCAACCTTAGATACTACTTTGTATTTATTTATTTATTTATTTCAGAAAAACAGTTTTAACTTCAACTTTTCAAAAATTTGAACTGAGACAGATTTTTTTGTGTGTTTTCTGTCTAAGGAGAAACTTGGAAAAAAGTCTAAGAAGCGAAAAACATAAAAATATATTATCAACAAATTTTAGTAACAGTTGGATTTTGGACAGAACCAGTTTATTTTTGCCCATCGTTGTAGTCACAGGAGCGATAATGTTTTTGCCCATGTCTGTCTATTTGCTCTTTGGGATTGTATCTCTGTTAGCAAAATATATTTTGAACCCTTGGATAAATTGGAGTGAAACTCTCAGATTAAACATTCGATGTCCATCTACAACTGATTATCTTTTGGTGTCAACCCCATTGAAGATGGCTGCCACAATTAAATGACGTTAGCGAACACAAAAATAGCTATAAATCAGTCAATTTTACATGTCTTGAGCTCAAACTTGGTATGGTAGTAGCTGAGAGTCACTCCTAACACATACTCTTGGCACTACATATTGTTTGTTTGCTAAATATCTCATGAACACTGGAGCCATTTGAATTAAATTGTCATTTACAACTGATTAAACTTTGGAATCTCCACTTTCCAAGATGGCCCCCACAGCTAATCAACATTAAACAATACAGGCATGGCTTTAACGCTATGACTCTGCTTGGAGCTGTTGATGCTTTTCTTAAAGTATGAAGACACATTTAGTTTAAAGAGATAAACGCTTCCAAGCTTTCGTCTGACACCGTCGCTGCAGGTGTAAAAGGTCCAAACGTGAGTGAGTTCCTGCTCACCGAGCACGATGGCGAGCATCTGCGTCGCCTTCCGCTCCTTCTGCTGTGACAGCCTCCCCCTCACCCTCTCCTTGGTGGCGCTCCATTTCTCCCTGCCCGCGCTGCGCTCCCTCCATCCCTCACGACCTCTCATGCCGTCATCGAGGGTGGGAGGCCGAGGCGTCAGGGCTGATCTCGTCACGGTCGAGGGAAGAGTGGGGGCAGGTCCCACTGAGATGGAGAGGGAGATCTGAGCTCGTTCCGAATGGGATGAGGTCTGGGGAGCAGTGGTGAGAGGAGCCAGGCTTTGCTCGGTCTGCGGAAGGAACCGACCCGGCTCCACTTCCAGGGGATGAACCATCGCCTCCTTCCCCAGGGTCTGACACACAGAGAGGGAGGAAGGACGGTGGTGAGGGAGGCAAGATTTGGGGGACAAAGAAAGGTGCGGATGCTTGTGAAGGAGACAAAGATGGAAGTTTTATTAATAAGAGAATAAAGAATAAAACAAGATGCAAGCAGAGATTCCCAGCAGAACAGAGTGAAACATAAAAAAGTTACAATAAAAAAAACATTTAGAATCAGATTCTCATTTGGATCACTCACCACCTTCTTGCGTTGAGGACCAGCAGTGGCCGGTCTGAGGATCAGGGTGCACAACTTCACATCTTCTGGTTGTGTGCATTTATTCTGAAAGAGAAGGAAGCAGCAGACAGCATGAAGACATCCAACTCCTGATTTATGTCAAAATAAAGAATTAATATATGTAATGGTACTTGTTGCTGATTTATATCCATTACAAGAAACACTGTACAGCACAGACAGTATATGATTTTTTTCATACTTTATGATATTTTATGTTTTGACAAGAATGAAACCTTTAGGAGACACATACAGCACAGTGTGCCCTGAATGATATGAAATCACCACAGTTTATTTTTCATTTGCCTTATTGAACAGTGGTCTTGTTTTTGTAACACAAGACTCAACAAGAGTTTGTAATTTCAACTGAAAAGCCACACATGCTTTAGAAAATTAAAATTTTTATTAAATTAATTAAATTTTTAAATTAGGAAAATTAGAAAGAGTTATCCATTTTGTTCTGTTACTTGAAAATTATTATGATTGAACCAATTGTTTGAAAAAAAGGGGCAGATATAATAAGATTTTTTCTTCTTTCTGCTGCCTTTCATTTTAAATCTCTTGTATCTTTTTTTTTATATTGTTATGGAATTGTTTTGTACTTTTTTTAAAATGAATAAACTATATACCATACCATACCATACCATACATGCACGGAAAGAGCATGCAAACTCGACACAGAAAGATATATATATATATATATATATATATATATATATATATATATATATATGGGCAGCACGGTGGCGCAACTGATAGAGCTGCTGTCTCTCAGCGAGCAGGTCCTTGGTTCAAACCCCGGTCCAGGGGCCTTTCTAGGTGGAGTTTGCATGTTCTCTCCGTGCATGCGTGGGTTTTCTCCGCCGGGTGCTCCGGTTTCCTCCCACAGACCAAAAACATGCATGTTAGGCTGATTGGTAACTCTAAAATTGTCCCTAGGTGTGAGTGAGAGAGTGAATGGTTGTTTGTCTCGTTTGTCTCTATGTGGCCCTGTGATGGACTTGTGACCCGTCCAGGGTGTACCCCGCCCCTCGCACAGTGGTTGCTGGACATGGGCACCAGTGACCCCCGTGAGCGGGTAAAGATAATGGATGGATGGATGGATGTATAT